TTGGCATTTATCAATATATGCAACAATGCTTGTTAGATTTTTATTGAATTTTTGTTAGAGTTTAAGTTGCGGTTGGAAGGAAACGCTAATGAATCAAAGAATTTTTCTTTTTTGTCTGCTTATCTAAAACAATTGAATTGAGTTTTGGTTTTTTTAGTTTTTTATTGAACTTTAAGCATGTTTTACTCTGATTGTTTAAAACAGAAGTATTGAAGTGTAAAAAAGTTTGTAAAGTAAGCTGGTAGAGGAAGATGTCTATCAAAGTTCTCAGAACTCTTTGTTAAAATGAGGCTTTTTGTTGTTAATTTTCAATTGAAAAAAAAAGGTTGTTGCTTACATTTTTATCAGAGTAGTCTTTTTAAAAACAAAATTTTAGAAACACAGATTCAACTAGTAAGTTAATGTCTGTTTCTGTTAGTTGCTGTTGTATAGAAGTTTCATCGAGCTTTAACACACTACCACTACCAAAGCCGCCACCAAAAACAACAACAACATCAATAATAATAATCTTCAAAATACTACATTGACTGAGTTGTGGTATAAAAGTGACTTCTAATGAAAAAAATTACAAGTTTTCTCAACTTGTTTTTTTTTTTTATTTTTTGTCGCTTCTTTTTTATTTTTATTGTTTTTTGGTTAAAGAAAATTTTTTTTGAAGAGAAATTCTAGTACAATTTTAGTGATGAATGGATGAATGAAATGGCACAACAGCAGTAAAAACATTTGATTCGGATTCAATTACTAGTCAGTGTCTTATTATATTGTTTGGAAAGAATTTCTATGGCATCAACCTTTTTTGTTGCTGCAAAAATAACAACACTTAAGATGATATCAACATAAAACATGATTTAAAAATATCAAATAAACAACGAGAACATTAATAATAACGAAGAAACAAAAACAATAACATCACTGTCTTGGTTTAACAGGCATTCTTCAAAATTTTTTGAGTTTGTATCTTTTAAAATGTTCACCGAATACACTTAGATTGAACTATTCGTGACTAGTACAGTGATTGCTGATAATGCCGTAATTAAGGTTCAAAATGAACAAGGCTTTCTACTAGTTGATCGAATGGTTGCAGTTGTTTATGGACTAAAGCTAAAATTATGAACAGATGATGATGATCATATTGATGACGACTATGAGTGATCACTAATTGGGGGAGGTAGCGGTGAGGAATTTGAATTTGCGAAAAGAAAATGGATTTTGATGGTATTTGGTTGGTAGCAGTTTAATAGTTAACAAATGGAAAAAAGGCGCTTTTATGAGTAGATAAATGAGTTATCTTCAGTGAATCAATGAAGACAGGTATTTAATTATCTTGGAAAGTTATTTTTTGCGTTATTTTAATTTATTTTTGACAGATGGGGTTTTTTTCTAAGCAAACATTTTAATTTAATAAATCTATGGTTTTTATTTTTCTCTATTGCTTTCTTTTTCTAGTCAGGTCTGCGTAAATATCTGAACTCTTCTGAAAATGGATGTTGAGAGTCAAATGATCTTTTACAGGCATTGAAATCATTGTGGAAAAAGTCATTTTTAAGGAATTCTGATTTTCAAAGGGTTTTATACTGCTAAAAAATGAGACATTTCCAGTGCAGCTTTGACGCTGTTTGGTTTTTTGAACATTCTGAACACAGACTGTAGCAGCAAATGTAGAATTATGGTATAATAATGGAAGATAGAAGAGAAAGAAAAGTAAAAACAAACGTTTTCCGCAAGTGGTAAATTAACGTATCCTATACAAACTGTTATGGAGACAGGTAAAAAAATTGTTCAAAGATCAGTGGTAAATGGAACTTTGTCTAGCTGTGAACCTGTAAACAACAAAACAGCAATATTTTTTGGTTGATAAGACAAAATGAGCTAGCAATTTTCATTGTTAGGCCGGCAAAGTTAGCAGTGGGCATAATAATTTGTTTAGTGCTGAAATAAAACTGACGTGCGGGATGCACAATAAAAAAAAAAAAAA